TATATGTATATAATTAAAATTTTAAAACATAATTTTTCAAAAATTTTTTATAAGTGCGTTCTATTACTTTATCACAAGGATATCTATAGGAAGTATATGTATATTATCGTAACAGAGAAGCTCATCTAAATCCATTCCCCGAAAGACGCAAATTTCAACTTCTTTGATTTAAAAATTTATTTCGAAATGTTTATTTGTAAACGACCATTCTTGTTTAATTTTACCTAGATTCATTTTGTATCTAGTCTTTTAATAAATGAGATTCTAGTCTTTTAATTAAAAAAACGTGCTAATATCACAAGTCCAAGTATAGTGAATCAGTGTTTGTGTTTTATGTATAACATACAAATACTTACTTTATGAGAAGTATGTAGTTCGTTTTGTATGATTTATTTGTCCACACAACTTAGGTATACATATGTTTAAAAGCTTATAAAGTAATATTCTATACAGGAACTAGACTTTCTTTTTAAAAATAACAATTATCAATATGTTTCTTGTTATTGTTTAATAAAATTTACGTCTGATGAAACGATTATATTCACAGAGAAAATAAAATTTAGAAAAAAGAATAGTTTCTATCAATCCTGTTGCATTGAAGTTGCATGTAATGAATAACACCTTAATTTACACTTGATTTGTTCCACGCTAATCAAACGCATGGCGTAAAAGTTTTCCTAGGCGCGATGAGAGAGATGTTTACATACATACGACACTAAATTATAAATTGTATGAAAAATGTATAAAAAAAAATTAAAAACGAAATTTTGTCGTTAACATTTTACTGTCCTTATATTACTTACATCTGTAATTTTTATAACCTTACGTACAAAGAAAAGTGGTAACAATTTCTTAAAATTTGCAAACTTGTTTACAACTAAAAGCTTTAATTTATTTTATGTAATAATTTTCTATGTAAGATATTGAAATTTTGTCATTTACCAGTAAATTTACTCCATTTGTTATTAAATTGTAAATATTTCTTTTGGAGACTACTTTAAACAATTAAATTAATATACTGTGTTCTTAAGAATTTGAATGTTTTAACATTCGTTTTACATAATGCTTTCAGATATTATCTAACATTCAATGCTGTTCATGAAAAAATGTTCATTATATCATAAATATAATATACCTAACAAATATTATACCACACATGTGATGCATTATTGTTTTTTTATTGTGTTTATTTGTTATACATTACTGAATGTAGAAATAGCATAAAATGTCATTAAGTTCAGCCTAAGAATTTAATACTCTACAATCAACAAACAATAATTATGAAAAATACTGCTCCTCTTATATTCAAAATATAAAAGATATTGTTTAGTTTCTTCCTTTATTTTTAGAGTACAAAATATATAGATTTTAAAGGAAGAACTGTGTTTGATATCTTATTTTAGACAAATAAGTGCATAAAGTGTTTCAAGATATTAGTAACTAAGAACATTTCATCTGAATTCAAATTATAGTTGTTTTTTATTTTTTCCTAAGAACACTTTTTACAATTTATTGCTAGAAAATAATTTACATTATTCTTTATGACACATATATTAAAGTACACCCACAATAGTAGTATACATGTATGTCATTTAGTTCCAGCAACAAACAATAATAACATATATAAATAAATATACTTTATGTATACTGTTATAAAAACATTTCTTTTTTTGTTTCTTTGAAAGAAAGTATTATTGGACCAATATTTTTACAATTAATAAAAAATAAATGTATTATAGTCAATAATTTATTCACAAATATCAAAATTATATATAAAATTTGATTAAATTTACAATTTTCACTTAGGAAAAAAAATTGTGAAGCACTACTTACATCTTAATCATTGTAATTTAAGTAACAAAAAAAAATAGCTAAAAATTTTAATAGCCTACCAATCTATCGAATACTTTAACACATATCCAATTTATTATTAGTAGGTGGTGCATTTAATCCACCAATATCACCAGATTCAAGTTGTTTAAGTAGGCGGAAGAGAGCTGCAGCTTCTCTAATACGGCTAAATTCTATACAAAATGCTTGCACTTCAATAAAAAGTTCTTTTACATTTATAATTTTGTTTCTAATTAAAGATTGTAGAAAAACACAAACCAAGCGCACTAAGCGATTTTGCATATAACGATCCTTTATAGTTTCACAAGTAGAAATACAATTACTAATGTACAAATGAACAAATTCTGTTGGTAGATCAACAGTAGTAGTCAATCTGTTAACTACTTCCATTGAATGGAGTGACATCTCCATATTTACCAAAACACTAAAATATTCTGTTATTTGGCTTGACTGCATGAGCTTTAACAAAACTTCAATTGCAATTAAGGGATTATTCTCTACCAAATCTGGTAATTTTCCTGGAGTAAGGCCAATATGATATACCAATTTTGGATCCCTATCCAATTCATTAACAAGATGTTGCTGCTGTTGTAATGTTAGCACACTTTTGAATGCTTTTCCCATTAATCTGCGAGCTTCTGCACCAGCACAATTTGAAACACACATATTAATGTCATATTCAATTTTAAATTGTGCAGGTTCTGTGAAATTAAACCATGGTAATTCATCAACTGAACGATAAAGGGGTGGTGCTAATCTTAAAAACTCAGGTTGATAACTTTGAGTACATAAAGGTGGATCATCAGCAATTAAAACTTCAGTCATATTTTTTGTTGCATTCTTATCAATCTCTGTCACTTTGGAATGATCCATATCAGGTAAAATCACAGGATTTCCACATTTGGCAATAAAAGGTAATTCTGAGTGCCGCTCTGCCAGTTGCATTTGTAAATTACTCAAATCAATAGGTGGTACAGATACAAAATATAATTCATCCACAATTTGTCTTGGAGTTTTCTTTAAAACATCTTTTTGATTGTATCCCAACAAATTTATTAAAAAATTCTTTTCACATTGTGACAAAACTGGTATGTGTCCTGAAAAATTGGTCTTTGACACACCATTATTTGATTCTTCTTGCAGTTTTAAAACTTGTACAAAAACCGGTGCAAAGGGTGTTAAAGCTAGTGGTTCTCCTTTATAAAGTTCAAATAACAATGCCACTGCTACTATACGTTGCCCAGTTTTTGGCAGCAAGTCTATGTGTTGTAAAAGAAGAATCAATGTCATTCCTACTTTGAAGCGATCTTCTTTTGGAAATACATGATGTAATTGATTGCAGAGGTTTTCCAAACTCGTATCCAAATTTTCCTCTTCAAGAATATCCAATAATTTTGTTAATTCTTTCGGTGTAAGCGTCATGATGTTCAAGAAACGAATTGAACTAGGTTATAGCACCTCTATTATGTTCCTTTTTCACGGTTATATTCATGAATATCGTAATTCGAATACGGTAATTCGTCTTGAAAATCAATAATTACATGTAACATACTAATTTGCAGCAGGTTAGTATATATACAATTTACTTTTGTTACATTTTACAGTTGTTACTTTACAGGTTATGACTAGAATTCTAGAAGAAATAACTAAGGCACAAACTTACAAACTGAACTGATGTAGTGAACCATTCCTATGTAAGAATGGATTACTATATATGAATCACATATAGTGAGTCTCATCGATACTTGCAGAAACCCTAGAACTAATCCAAACGTACATCAGCAGAGTTTCTATGTGAAATGGAGTACGATGCACAAGCGACATGTGCGAAAATTATTTTGACACCAGCCGTACAACAATTCGCGTCCAACAATTGACGTCGGTAAATTGGTAACTGACATACCGACATTCTAGTTCATGTTATGCCTTTTATTCTTCATGAAGAATGGTTTTTGAATTATATGTTTATAGCTAATAATTATACGTATTATTTAAATGAATGCAGTGCTGCGTGCAATATTGCATCACGATATATAAATCATCAATAATTGCTTGTGCATTATATGCCATTTCACATAGAACCATCGCCGCTGTGCATTTGTTTAGTTCTAGGGTATCCGCAAGAATTAAAGAGATTCACTGCATAAAATTAGAGGAACGAGTGGGGGGGATTTGCATTATGGTAATATGAAACTAATTTAGCGCTATCTACCTTAAAATTTATGTCGCGCTAATTTCGAAGTGTGTATACATTTATTGACAATACAATCACAATTCCTTGTTTGTGATGTAACCTTTATTTTAATTTAAAAAATATATCTACTTTGAATAATTTTTTAATTGTTTTATTTAGTTTATCCTTTTATCATACCATGAAAGGACTAAAATTTTGTGTACTAGTTTGTAAATTGTTTAACAAATATAAGAATTTTAAACTACATATTTTCAATATTAATACTTTCTTTCATTTTATTAATATTATTTCTCATTAATAATCTGAGGTTATATGTATATTATATGTAAATTGATAAAACATGTAATAATCAATATTGATGAACTTATGACGAAGAAAACGTTTTATGTTTTCAAAAATTATTACGTATTACTTCATGCTGTAGGATTTCCGGTGTATAAACTAGACCGAGATCTAATGCATATAAATTAGAAAGAATCATATATTATAGAAAACAGCGCGTTATGACACGCTTGGCGTGTTTACGTCTTGCAAAGCGCGTATCTATCTTACTTTGAAGATCGATAACTTACGGAATTTATAATTACCATTCCGTACCATCATTAAGTAACTCTGAAACCTTAGATATATAGTTTGATTTTTACTTTCATGTAATTAGCGAACAATTTTTCATCTTTAAAGTTTTTTTTATAAATAAGTTTAAAAAAACAACAATTAATTATTACATCATATGTATAAACTGGCATATATGGAATGTAACTGGTAAATAATAATGATAAACGAATAATTATATTTTACTCTCTTTCTTATTTAACAATTTAAAATCATGTATGAAAGATTTGAAGCATTCATTCCTTAATTGCCATTATATACACATTAACTTGCGCAGTTAATACCTTAATTATCGAATTATTAGTATCTTTCTTTTGTTTTTGCTTAATTTAATGTTACTATCAGCGTTCGAAGTTGGTAAATCATCTTTTAAAATGTGATCAGTATCGATAGCGGCGTTTCCGCTTTATAGAAATCTAATCCATATAGGAATCATTTCTTTACACGTCTACGGTTTACATTCACGTAATGCTTCTAGGCTAGGTATCAGAAACACGGTCAACTCTGAAACGCTAAAGGAATGCCAGGTTCCCCCACTCTTCTTGCATACCCGTTTCACTCCTGCCCCCGGCCCTCAGTAAATTGTGTAGAGATGAAATCCCCACCTCATAGGCAGAAGCACCTGTTGCGCAGCTACCTGTTTTACTCGATCCATGGGTCCGTTCTCTCTTTCTTTCTCTTTCTCTTTCTCTTTTTCTTTAGTATCGTGCACGGTGTCACGGCAGTAGGACGGTCTGCGATCGCGGTGGTGATTCTTCGGTAAAGGGCAACGACTTGCAAAGTGAAAATAATGTCTCCTTATGCACGTCGTGCGGAGTCACGGTGAACAGTGCGAAGCATAATCTGTTCGAAGGTTTAGCACGGATATTCCTCGAAGAGGAAACGTGGGTACGTCACAACAGCCAAGTTGGAAATGCATTGAAGGAAAGTTTAAGAAGGAGCAATGGAGGACGAGCCACGGGATACCTGTTTCGCGGCAGGAAGCGTGGCAGGGGCTGTGATCGGTACTTTCCTTACAACGATTCTCTTGCTGCTGGTTGCGGCGCTCCTTTACAGACAATGGCGTAGGCACAAGGGTAAGTTCTACCATTTTTTCGCCAATTTCGAAATCTCAGCTGCCGGTAACGGTGTGTCATGGAAGTTCCAATGACAGATCGGTGCAATTTGCATTCGCGGTTTTACGTTAGCCTGAGCGCTCTCTAGCTGTCGAGTTTAAGCAATCACGACGAGGTTCTTGCGATAACTAACTTGCTCCTTCGAAGAGTCAATAGAACTTTATCATCTAGGACAACGATTTCTTCTATTTGTCAACTCGTTATTGTACTTTCGAGACATTAAGCACGTGTAAACCTTATAGAATTTCTCGTACGATAAATCGAAATTTATACCTACGCATTATTCCTCCGCTATTTCTCTGCGAAGGACATTAAACGCACGATACTAGAAATTCCTTCTCGATATGCAACACAATAAAGAATTATGTATTTTTCAATGGATCCATTCAATGTTGAATAATTGCTTCAATTGAGGCGGTTTATGAAAGCAATGCAGTGATGTAAGAAATTAGCATGTTTAAATAAAGGTTATACTGTAATACATTCTGTAACTTAAAATGGCGCGTAACATTCAAGATGTAAGAGAGAATTAAAATGAATTTTTCACCTTTATCGATTGATCTCTGATGAATTGTCGTGAAAAATATCACAAATAATTAAGAAACACAGGAAACGGTTATTGATACCATAAAAATGCTCAGCATTTATCACCGACTAGTAAAGTTCATTAGTGTGCGCTGCATGTTACGAACTTTTTCGCTATTGCGTCGCAATTGATGCGTATATCCATGCAAAAGGTAGACCTTGGAATGCTTATTCGAGAGACACGATGGGACACGAAAGCCTCGTTTGCTCGATACATTCGAATCTCTATCTGGTGGGATAATGTTTAACCTACAACATAAAATACTCCCTACCAAAAATGCATTCTGCGCGTTGAATGGCTTTTAGGATGGGTATACCTGTTGTCATTGCGTTGCTCCTGTGGAATGTAACGCATGTGCAATGCTAAATATGTGTAAACCTGATGTAGCTGCACGATAATGTTTTTTGCTGAAGAGTGAAGAAACGTTAGAATTGTTACATATTAAAATGGTGTGAACGGTAAAACATAACGAGTTGCCTTTTTTACAAATATTTCTCCTTTTTCTACAAGTTAAGAAACTAATACTAGCGGAATATGATTATGTAATTATGCCTATATCGCTTAGCATAAATCTAAATTGTAAATGTACAATCTAAATTTTTATAAAGTACAAAGAAATAACTTCTAATGTGTTTTACATTTTCTTCTCACTATCGAGTTTCACGAGTGAAAATATTGTATTCAATGGAAAATATGATCAAAATCAAGCACGATCATAAATGAAAATGTTTTAAAATTATCTATCGTTGTAAATAATAAAAAATAAATGTTTTGCAGTAATATATGTACATCGGCTCGATCGTTTTTCCTCCTTTTTTTTTGGTTAGGAAGGAGGGACTTGTTCAACTAATTATCTCTCGTTCTATCATTAACATAACAAACCGATCAGCAACAAAATTAGCTTCACGGTTGCATAATCATTCTTGGCTGCCTAGGCTGTGTAGTTTTCCTAAATCCTTTTCACAGCATTCTTCTTTTAATGAAAGTATGCTTACCAAAAAGGAATTGAATTTGTAAATTATTGTATATTTTGATAATGTAAATTAAATACGGAGAAATAAAGTTATACGTCGGTAGAGTTATAATATTTATTACAACTGAATTTACCTACATTAGACGAGTTTTTAACTTGTTAATCGGAGAGTTCATTTACCGAAAGCACACTCTGTGCGTGCCGTTACAACTTGCAGAGACGAGTTAACTCGTCATGCGCGCAGTAAATGCGAATTGCCATAACTTGTGTCTTATACACTCGCAGCAATAGAAAACTCAAAGACAGATAAATTCTTCGACGAATAAATAAACAATTTAACTGAAAAATATTGTTACGAAATTTAGATTTTTACTTTCGTTTTTGTTGCAAGTATGTATAATGAAAGTAATGGAAATAAATTAGAAACTAGCAAGTATTGTTGTATGTTATTTATTTATATAAAAATTTCATTTCTTATCGAACAGTATAATGTAATTTAAAGTGAAATACAACACATAATGCCACTTTGCATGGTTTCGTCGATTTAAACAAAGGAAAGTGAAGGAACATCGAAGATGTCTTGCCAACATGATGACAATAAAAACCAAATGATGCGTCGAATTTTAGTATATCATGTGTAATCTTTAAAATTCCGCGACGAGTTAAATCACCCTGCAGAGGCATTTTCCAATGACGAGTTAACTCGTCATTCTTGGTTAACAAGATAATATATTGAAATTAATTAAATTGAACAAATACGTAACATGTGTATAATCTGTAAAACTCTCTGACGAATTAACTCGTCCTGAAGAGGCATTTTCCGATGACGAGTTAACTCGTCATTCTCGGTCAAAATGTTAACTTCGGTCTAACATCTTTAAAACTTGTTGTACAGAAGCAGTTTTCAATGACGAGTTAACTCGTCATTCTCGGTTAACAGGTTAATGTATTGAAATAAATGAAAATTTAATAAATATGTATTAAAACCAAATACCGAACTAAAAATAGGAAATATTTCTGTTAAGTGTAAGTATTTCTTAAGTGGATATTTAAGTGGAGAATTTCTATAAGTGGAAGTATTTCTGTTACTTCACACCGGATAAGTAGGACTTGAGATAATCGAGATTCAAGTGAGAAGAATTCTGTTATAATTGAATAACATTTGATACGTCGCGTATAACAAACAATTATTCCAACAAACATTTATTCATTTTTTTTCTTTTTCTTTTTCAAATGTAACACAATTGTTCTGTGTGTACACGTGACGAAATATATTGTTCCGAAATATCACTGAAGTGCCGTTTACACTTTTCATTCATTGACATACATATATCATTATCTCTCAAAGAAAGAAATAGATAACAAATGATGGATAGGATGATAAGATGATCATATTTCAGAGGATTTAAATGCTTCTAACGAGAAAATCTTTGGAACAAACAAGAGAAAATTATTATTCTATAAACGATATTTGTCTAACATTTCTGTACATTGCATGCAATTTTATTCACTTATTTCAAAAAGGAAATCGTAAAACGACTGATAAATTGAACCGTGGTGGAATTCACGGAAAAACTGCTGAAATTAATGTAGGAAAAAACTAATGGTGTTTTTTTTTTTTTTCGTTTAAAATTTCGTTAAATATTTCGTTTTAAGTGGTAAAATTCATATATCAAGTGCAATATTAAGTAAGCGTGATTCTAAACGTATGCAAAGATGCATGCATATACAAGTGTATGCTAAATGTGCTAAACGAGTATAAATCTGCATGATCTTTGTACAAACATAAACAGAGTAAAAATATCTTTTATCTTCTTTAACATTGCTAGCACCTTCTACACTTTGTTGCGTAATTTTTCTATGATAATTACGTAATTTATTTATACATTCTTCAGTGCTAGTTTTTTATCTATAAAAAATTGCAAGGTGTTAAAATATGCAATTAAAAAGAAGCAGATAAATCATAAAATTTCGGAGTAGTTTGAACAGTAAATGCATGTTAAATAGTAAAATTGCTTCAAACGAGTCTGTGCTTAAATAAACAATTTAAGGGGGTATTCTAGTCTAGACTTTTCAAAAATATCGATTTCTTTTTTTTTTTTTTTACATTTTCTGGAAGTAGACATTTGCAGAAGTATAACTGTCGAAGGATTTTTCCGAATTCGTAAAATTGACGAGGTTACAGATGGTTAAAGTAGACGACATGTAGCCCGTAGTCGTAAGTATACCATACTCATGTAACTGGTATGAGAAACTTTAAACGCGTTTTTCTCGAAACCATGTTTTTCTAAATGGCCGACATGATATCTCAAGTTCTAGTTGTCCGATTGACTCGAAATTTTACATGCACCTTCAGTGGATGTGCCGTTATCGTCTGAACCAGAATTATGCCAAAATATATATTTTTCTGATTTTTAGAGCCTCTGAAAGACGAAAAAAAGTCGAAGAAATCGATATTCAAAATTCAAAGTGCCGCCATTTTGTAAATTTTCACTATTTTTTTTTCATTCTGGCTCACACCATAGTCACAGTCGTACTAATCAAGAATCCTTTCGGTTTTCTCATTTCGGATAAACAGAATGGGCGGAATCGTGTCAGCCAGTAGGACACTTGTTTTTAAAGGGACCGCACTGAATGATATATAATTCGGACAGTTTTGATTACTTTCACTTGGAAAAAATTGTGAACTTTCTTAAAACATGAATAAATATGTATGCAAAATACCGACACTGAGAAACTTATACTTTCCTTACAAAAAAATCCCTACGAAGGACTAAAAAATGACACTCTAGACTAGAATACCCACTTAAATGGAAATCCTCAATATACAATTTCTTTAATACTACGCTTTTCGTTAGTATGCAAGTAAATAAGAGTAAGCATGTAGTTTATCGTGATAAACTGCTAAGCATGAACTAAAAACGGATTCAAGCTAATAAGGAGCTAAAAACTCGAAACACATTAACGAGTATTTACTTTTTATATTACAATAATAAAGTATAATACTTGCAATTATAAAAAGCGTTTTGTAGTAGATAGTAAAACCGGAGAAAGCTCATTTCTCGTGGAAAAGAATGAAAATTAATGAGCAAAAGTGTACATACTTTGTTTTTGCTGCAATAAGATGCGACATTCACTTTTCAAAATTTTTCATTTTATCAATGTAATATTTGATTGTCGAGAAGATTGTCAAAATTATTTCGTTAACATTCAAATTATTTCGCACGCTCTACAGTATTTTGCGCATTTAACGTTCTAAATAATAAAATGATATTTTTTTTTCTCAAATTAAAAATTAAAAAGATATATTAAATTACTCTGTAGCAAGAGTCTGTTTAAATTGCTATGAAATTGTGCTAAAGTGAATTGTTCAAATTCTTCAAATTTGCAAGTATGGAAATGTCAATTAGTGACAGACAAATTAACACTAAGTTAATTAAAGGATATTTTTCAGATTATATTTTAAGGATATTTTCAAGACTATATTTTAAGGATACTTTTGATACTACATTTAAGAATACTTTAAGGATATTTTTAAGAGTATATTTCAAAATATTTTTAGAATACTTTTAACACAAAATCAACACTAAGTTAATTAAATCATATTTTTAAGGTTACATTTAGGATATTTTTAACACTAAATAAAAACGCTAAGTTAACTGAAGGATATTTTCAAAAAAAGGGTGTGCCAAGAAAAATGTAATTTTACACAAAACTTGTTAAATCTTCTAAATCCTTAAGTTTCCACAACGTTAACGAAGAAATTGTCAATTAATAATAAACGTGTGATAAATCTTTTCAGGAAAACACTTGGTACTAGTGACAGACCCAGAAATCGTCGAAGAAGCTTACGCCTTCGACAATCCTTGCTTCAAGGATGTCACAATTTCGTCGACTAATCGAACTCGGGAGGGAGCAATATCTCTGACACCTGAAGATACTTCAGGTAAAGATGCTGTGCGATGGTCTACTTCTTGGACGTCCTTGGGGCTGGGTTCAAGTAACCGCAACGATAAACGAAAAACCCTCGATGATTCGTGCCTTGGTGTAAGTGTTCCTCTATTCACTTTAGTGTACAATTAAAAAAAAAAAAAAACAAAAAAAAATACACAAAGACACACATCCTTCATGCGCAATAAACGAACAGTGCAGAATGTTTCTTTTTAAAGGAAACTATCGTAATATACATATCTTTTCAATATTCCAAACGTACAAGGTATTGCGCATGGCCAAATTTGGCAGCGTGTACAGTTAATCTAGCCATCTTCGATACGTGCCCTTATGGTTCTTGGCCAAGAGGAAGTTCACAGTATACGAGTCGAATCATAAAGCTAACTTTTTCGAAACGAGTATTCAAAGCAACATCTTTTGCCTTTAGTGTAATTTATTTCGTCGATTATTATTTTATTCTATTATTTTTTGAAAAATAAGAAAAGTGTGTTGAATATAATTTTACAATGACACAAAGTAAGGTAGAAATATAAAAATTATAATTTCAATTGTATCGTTAATAATTTCTTTTTTTATGCAGTTGAAGACTACAAGAATCAATGTAGTTAGTTTGAAAAGTCGGGACTTCACAGGACTAGGATTCAATATTTGCGGTAATATGAGAGAGGGAATCTTTGTTAAAGACCTCCTACACCGTGGCCCTGCATCGGAGTCCGGTCGAATACATCCAGGTTAGTAATTATTTTCACTATATTAAGTATTTTTAAAATTGCAAGTTTATCATTGAAAAATTTCTCTTAAACACTTCGTTTCACTGAATCGTTTAACTTTTTAAGTATTCTGTGTTACCTACGAATTGTAAAAGTTCCTCTGATAATTCTAGCGATTGTAATCGATCCTATTTTCACTCGACAAAACTGTATTTATTGTATAATCTTACTTACTAGAGTACTAATTTTGTTACAATTGTTGTATTCGCAGGTGATCGTATAGCCAGTGTAAAAATCAGTTTTCAGAATATGGTATACGAGGATGCGTTAACAATTTTAAGCTACGCTTCGCCATACGATGTGAAACTCGAGGTAGAAAGTGGAGGTATCGGATCGAAGCCGACGACACTTTTGAAAAAAAACGTTGGTCCTAGCGCGACAAGAATTTGCCATCCTCTGTACAGAAGTCAGTCAATTCCAGAATTGTCGCAGTCGAAGAACGTTGCAAAAAGACTGTTCATAGTCGATCCGAACGAGTCGACAAATTCCAACTACTCGACGATGAACTCGACGTTGAAATCGTCCAAATCTACGCCAAGTAGCCAGACATTCGAGAAACGTCACAACGAATTTCGAAGCAATCACCATAAATTTGGTATCAAAGTTTTACCCGCCCTCGACGGAACCGTCCAGCGTATCGAGAATCAAAACGAGCATAATACAAACCTCGAGAGAAGACACTCGAAGAGATTGGACGCGGAGAAGCATCTTGCGAACGTTAACAAAATTTCTTTAGCCAGCGATAAAAAGGAGGAAGCCCAGCGACAGCAGAGTTCGCAAATATTGCACGCTCCTAAAGAGAAGAACGAACACGTGGAAGTGTGTACCGCTGATACGTTAGACAAAAGTGGGAAAATCGGCGGAGACGCGTCAATTCACATTCCTTCGGAGGTGCCGGCAGAAGTGCACAACGCAGCTATGGCTGCGCGCAGAAATCGGAAGAACAGTTCGGAGTTGCTGAATCCTCAGAAGAATATCGAGTCTATCGAGACGGAAGAACCAAAAAGTCAACAGAAGAGCAAAAGAAAAGCTCCTCCGCCGCCGAAAAGTAGCAACAACGACGTCGAACACGTCTCGTTTCCGAAGAAGGATTCACCCTTGACGAGAGAGTACGATTCGAAGAGGGAGGATAAAATCAGCAGCATTGCCGATTACACGGAATCTATGCCGGCGGAACACGCGAACAAAACGCGAGAAAGTACAGAGAACGTAGATCCGCACGTGGAACCAAAAATGGAAACTTTGATAATCGACGCAAGACACTCTGAATCCGACACAGACAGCGAGATACAGAACAGTTTTACGACCATCGAGTTGAATTCGGCTGATATCACGATTCATCGAACACCCGTGCCCGAGACAAACGACGAGGACGAGGAAGACGACGTTTACAGGAAAGCAGCAAGCTTAGGCGATCTGTCCAAGTACGAATGTAGAACGTCGACGACACTCGAAAGAGCGCAAAGTTTGGACATGACTGATACCGGAACGAAGAAACGCAAAGCACCTCTACCACCGGAGGACATTAACGAATCCACGGAAGATTTGACTAAGCTCGATCGAATAGACACGTTCGACAGACGATTGTTGAAGAAGTCAAGCGACTGGGGGAACTTAGAGGACGTCGTTTGGTACAAAAAGCAGGATTCGGAGAATAAGTCAAAAAAGTCGAGAGTTAGGAAGAAGAGCAACGGTTCGCTCGAACGATCTAAGTCCGCCGTAGAAATTAAGTCGAAAGCTGAGGCGTCTGAGTCGAAAGAGGACAATTTCACAGACAGCGATACCAGCATCGAACTTTTCAATCTTCCCTTGAGCAAAAGACTTACGGAAGAGTTCATTCGGACAGAACGAATGTTCAATCCGGACGAAGACAATTCGTTGGCCAGAATCGTGAACGACGGCACCATCGTTAAAAGTCCTACACTCGAAGAAGTAGAATTACAGTTTAAGAAAGAATCCTCGTTACCTGGTGATTTTAACAACGACAACTTAGCCACGGGCGAGGAGATTTCGGACGAAGATGAAAAAGTACAGAATAAAGATATTGGGAAAGCTTTGAAGCAGTTCGAAACTTATTCGCAAAAGTTACCGGTCTCCTCGGACTCTTCTAAGCACGAGTTGGTTCGTTTTAAAAATTGGAAAGAAAATAACTTGACGAACAACGAGGCGGTTTTGTATGCCGGTAAGAAACCCGTTAATGAAGAATTAATGACGAAAATTAATATCAAAAGGGGGTGTCCTTCGTGCGAAGACAATTGCAATCGTCACGAGTCCTGCAAGAAGAAGTCTTTTTCCACAAAACGATCGTCCACACCGATACCTTTGCAGAGCTATACTTCAACCGTAACGGAGGGTAACGGTTCCGATTCGATAACGATTAACGACGAGGAAGAGCCGAACTCGATGTCTTATACGCACAAATCGATGACGAAAGACGGGGAAAGTAGAAGTGGAAACTCTTCGGTAAATTCGAAATCGTCGACGAAACGGGTAATCGAGGTTCCCGTTAATCAGAGAATCGATCGAGAGAACGACGAGGACGAGGACGAGTACGAATTCGGTTCCGGTGTTATTATAAACAATAAGAATTTGTTCGATCGCGAGGATCGTCGTAACATTAACAATATCAGTATTTCCAGTGGTGAGAACAGTGAAGACAGCGGTTTGGTCGGTGAGTCGATGGATTACAATCCGCAGGAGTACGATAATCGTCCGCCGCTCCCAAACACACCGATGCCGCAGAAAATGACTTACATTACGGAGATTAAACTCCCGGCTAACAGAGGAAAATTTCAGGACGATAACGAGAACAACGAATCGCTTTCCATAATGGGAAGTACGGAGAAGAAATTGGTGCAAAACGAAGTCAAAACGACCTCAAATGGTAAAACAGCTTCTAATAAGAAGCCCCCCGTCCCGCCTAGAAGAACGGACATTACGAAATCTAGTAAAAAAGGAAACACCGAGAAACAAGTTATTTATGTGTCAGAATATAAATCGAACGAGTCGAAAGAACCAGACGGTTCAGACGTGAGCCCGGAAATCAAACAATCGGACAACTGGTCAGCAGAAACATGATCCATACGTGGTATATATTTAAGGGACGGAGAAGAAAATGAATATAAATTACCAGTGAAGAACAAACAATTGATAATGTTCTCAGGTCTTTAATGTGCAATTTCTTTTTTTATCGTATATTTAACGACGATTCCGATTAGAAGTAATAGTTGTTACGAAATAATGAAATAACTGCGATTATAACAAACTGTTAACAGGATATTACCTTTTTTTTTTTTAAATATTTTATCCTTTTTTTTTGTAATATTCAACGATAAAATAGACGTAATCCGGAATGAAAATTTACTACGATGAACCTGAGGAATTAATTACAGACCGTATCGTACTTAACATTCTTCGCACGAACGAAACAAATGTCGATCGCTATACATACGCTATATGTTTTATGCTCATTCTGAATAGATCTGCTCTTAAACTAGTCGAAAGAAAATTTTATTTAGTATCTTCTTTGATTTTTATGAAAGACTGGCTCTTGTTAAAAAAAAAACATGTTTTTTTAATATTTTGACGAAAACATTTGTTGTTGTAAGTGATATTTATTTTCCAACATATTTTCTGTTTTAAAATTTATATCAATTAGAACTTGTATTATACATAAATTACATTTTTACAGTACAGAGTTAAAAAAGTATCATACGTATCAAAAGTATATAAACAAAAATATATATATATTGTTCTCGTTTCTTTTAATTGTTATTTACTTGTAATTTTTCTTTATTTTTACGATACAAGTGAATTTAATATGCATAAGAGTATCGTAGGATTACAATACATTTACAAAACATTCCAAAATGTCTTACAATCTGATTAATAACAACAGATATTTCAACTCAAGATTTAATGACAGTTGGTACTTTTATATAGTATATGATTGTAAATTTACTACAAACTTTGTAATTACAATGATTTTTATATACATATAAAAATGAATAATACTTTCAGATAAGTCTAATTGTATATAACAATATTAACATATACTTAAATTTTTCGTAACTTATGATATACATAATACATGAAAAAAAAATTATTTAATGCAAAAACTATATGCAAATATGTACAAATATGGAATTGAATTTTTTCGATATTTTTACTACTCGAAATATATTTTATTTGCATGTAACGAATACTTGTTCTCATTATGCTACAAATAGAATAATTAGTATTATAATTGATAAATCAGAAATAACTTTACAAATATTTCGATTTGAAATATAATTATATCGATCGACTTAATAATGCATTTGATACAGTATTCTTACTGTACTAAAATGAAAAACAAAATACATGTTTTATTAAGTTAAGGTTAATATACAGAGACAGTATGTTTATCCATCTAGAATCTAGAATATCTCTGCTATTTTTATAATTCTTTGTGGTTCAGAATGCAACGAAAATGTTAATGTTCACTTTCATTTTTTTTTTTAATTACAATCGATTTTTTTGACAAGGAATATTACGTTTACGCGAATAATCTTCGAGAGGGAAGAATACTTTTCATCCTCAAGTGTAAGGACCATATTCACTCTCTAGATACCATTCAAAAAATTCCCAGTTTATTGTGTATAAACGATCACCACTTCGAACACGTTTTATAATGTCAGAATTATAAAATAAGTATTACTATTTTACCTCCTTTAATGTCCAATAAACGTGTACTATAGGTGCATATAGTATATACTATTTAAAAAATTGAAGGTTAACCTTGAAAGCTTTAATACGCCTCTACCCACAAAAAAATTATTACTGACAAATTGTATTCCCTTGATGCTATACAGTTTTCGTAAATAAAATTTATTCATCTAAAAATAACGGAGATATTTTAGATAGGTAAACTTATGGTTTCATCTTATACTAAAAAAAATCAGAGATCAAACGTCGCATGCAGTTTTAACTTATTGTTTTAATATGTCAAGTCATATTCGGGACGGAAACAATAGTCCAAAAGTTACTCTCATGAAGCAAATCACGCGTGTGTTCTAATATAATGTATTAATTGTATCGTGTAACATATATTAAAATGTTGTTATTTGTATTCATTTAAATATTTTTCATATATCGCAACGTTAAAGTAAGTATATAAAAAATTATAATGCAATGGATTGAAAGTTGAAATGTTAACGATTTAGAACTGTAAAATAGAATAACCTGCCACTAAAAATATAAATTTTTCGAAATATTGGATCATTCCATAAGTAATGCGATATTTTTGGATAAACTTTTGTAATAAAGTAAAACTTAGATGTTTTTACAACTTTTCCCACCTTAATCTTATATTTTCAATTTCCTTGCAAAACAATTTTTTTGGTTCCGAACTGAAGAATGAATCGAGCTCCTTTCAGACATCTGTGTTGAATCGTTTCCTGTTTAAATGATTCTAAAGACTTCGAAAAAAATGGTAGTCCGATGTTGTCAAATCAAGAGGATATAGTGGATGAGTCATTACTTCTCAATCAAATTCACTATGTTTTTGGAACATATTTTTTACCATATGAGGTTTGGCATTGTCTCCCTTTCTGTTAGCCAGTTTTCTCCTCAATACATTCCTTCAGTCTGTCCAACTGTGTGACAATACGAATCCTTCATAATGGTTTGATTAGGTGGTAACAGCTCATAGTGGATAATTCCATCCATATCCTACCAAACTGAAAACAACATAATTTTCGAATGCGGTCCTTAATGAAGTTAATGTCCCGTTGCTGTCAACTTATTATCTGCGGCACATAATATTATTATACATACTTTTATAAAAGTAAATTTTGTAATGGTATTTGTCTTCTTCATTTAAGTGTAACTATTTCGCTGTAATAATCTATCGTTTTTGTAAAAATTTAAAGCATTACCTATAGAATGACCCAATGCTTTATACGATTCTTGATATGTAGGTGATATTATATACCAACTTAACGCGAGACAAAACAGAGAAACATATTATGTAAATTTCTTAAAATTGGTAAAAACATAAATATTCATAGATCATGAGTATTGTAGCATTCAAATTATTGTTAAATTATATTTTACAGAAGTGTAAAATTATCAGTGACAGGGTAACATAGGGCAAAGCAAACATATAACAATAATGTAAAATAATATTATAATATGCAAATGTTATTCACTATCTACAGGTTTTTATTAGTTATTAGTACATGACTTTTTATTTCTTAGATACTAGCAAGAAGTAAATACTTAAAGAAAATCGAATTTTTGAAAAAGGTGCACATTTTTATTACTTTCCTCAATATTGGTTTTTGTAAATACCAAATAGATACTAATAACAAATAATTTTAAAATTATATTGTACATATTATTAAATGTTAATCATCAATTAACCATAAAGAAACAAAATGGTGCCAAGTAACATTTTATAATTAATTGTTCCACAATTTTTAGAATTATTTTTCATATTTTGAATACTACAAGTACATTCTAAAAATAATTGTATAAGAGTGCTTTTTTAAACATTTTGCACCTAAAATTTTGTTAACCCTTCATAGTTAACTATTCTAGTACTTAATTCATATATTTTAATATAAAAGCTTCCCTCTTACACTTTGTTAATTATTATTTAATAAATGTTATACAACTTATTTTAAGTCTAATATATTTTATTATAATCTAGAAAAATAAAGAGATTTTACAGAAAGCAAATTATTGACATACTTTATAAACAGTAATGTTGCATATTATAAATTGTATAATCTGAAACCTCAATTCATGATATAGTACAATAAACACATTTGTATCTAAATATTATAACTGCAATAACTTAAAATTAAAAAATATGTACTGCTTAAAAATTCAAGTTTTATTATTTTTTACTGTACAAATAAATAAAATTGTCTACTTTTAATATCATTTGTATCATCAAATTTACATATGTATAATAATGTATGTATAATTGATATGCAACTAAATGTTATACTAAATATTAAATGACATTTATTATTACATGTAATACCAACTAAGAAAATAGACATATTTCACTAGAAAAAGATATTTTATTATGAAACACTCAATAATATACAAACAGAATTTTAAGTCTATAGTTACAATTTAAATCTACTTTAATAAAATGTAAATGTAAATTTATAAAACATCAGTGTATAAAAATAACCATGTTAAGGATTACAAATTACTGCAACATGTTACAAACTTCATACATTAAAAACTATTACAATTTAATTTGTTACACTAAAAATCCGAAATATCATTGAGAATTTCAACATATGTTAAAATGATATTGATTTATATTAAATAATCTACACATTCATTCAAAATAATATTGAATGATCATATTTAATCTATTTGTGTCAAATCACTGAAATTATTATTAGGTACAAAATTTATAACTTTAAATTTAGGAAAATATCATAATTTTACTTGATATAAAAATTGACAATGGTAAGTTTTATCTGTTTGTCAAATATCCTAATTAAATGATATTTCCTTTATCTTTACATTTTTAAAATTATTAAAAATATTTCCTTAATAATATTCATCAATATTAATATAATGTACTTATTTGAATCAAATTAATTTTTATATACTAATCTTACAATTGTTACAACAAATTCATAACTAAATTTTTATACTTTAAGTTGCAGACTGTTTATAGTTTTTAGTACTCATCAATTTTTTACCACACATTGCACATATAGCTTTCTTATATGCACATGATTGGCAATAATGTGAACCAACTTGATGCACTTTTTGTCTACATATTCTACAGGTCTCAAAAGTCGCAGTGTATGGATTAAATCTTGCCTTTCCTGCAGACAGTGCTTTATTTTCTCCAACTTTACGTCCTCCACTTTCTACAGTATTCCTTGCTCCATTTTTCCATGGATCTGGAGTTATAACTCTTCCTAATTTTTTTTCACACTTTTCACAAACCATTTTGAATCACACTTAAAGATGTATTCCTAAGATACAAAACAGTAAGGTCACTATGTTATATGTAACCTGTATATTATAAATGTAATCTACTGTCAAAGATTCAAGTAAAGAAACAAACTTGAAGTTTGAAACATACAAAAGATGAAATTAAAATAATTCATGTAAAATATAATTTAAACAATGTAATTAATTCAATAACACCTTATAAGTACTATATAACTTTTGTTATTAGAAATGATATAAAATTGGAATACTATTGTGTTTAGATCAACTAGATTAAAATGTTTTTCATTTACCTACAAAATTCATCACACGATGGTAATTAGATTTTTTTTTATATTAGTTTTATTCGTATACAATAAGCATAGGCAAATAAAACATTAACTATGGCAAATACATGACAGTAAATATTTAACCTAGCCACAATCGTTCGTGATAATCAACAATTAAAATGTAAAGCACTTGTAACTATGTGTCACCAGCAGATGTCGCTTTCCTGATTAGCAGCCACCCGAAAATCCTAAAAAGCATGCCTTGTGCCACCAATTCGTAGTCTCAACCAAGTATGTACACACACATGTTGCTTCCGCATTCAATGGAGAATTCGGGGTGGTTTCGTCTATCGCACAGCGGCGACATTGATTTTGATGTGCCCGACCGACACCTGGTCTCTGAATTGTCGGCGCTGGCACGTAGGACAATCCATTCTGAACCGCATGTGCTGCGTCCGTAGCAGCGAACGTCTTAAAAGTTATCGCCCACTTAATAGCACAGCATTAGAACAACAACATTTAGTTGTTCACGTATCGATACGAACCAATAATATCTATTGTAGCAAGCGCTACATGGAAAGGCGCATATAGGCACCGATAACAGCGCACTCTTGTAACCGTTGCAATAAACGCCTTTTGTGGGTGTAACGGCTGTCTATCGTATAACAGCGCGCATCATTGCACAGGACTTTTTCCCGCCTTAGGAATATTGTGGAGAAAATAGAACGACGAAGAAAGATTAATTCTGGAACAAAGGGAACGAGGAATCGCGGAAATTCATTGGAGTCCAGAAAGTTCATACCGAGTCTATTCGTTATTTGTTGCTTGTAGAATATACAGTTATTGTTAAAACCCGGTTCATATTTTATTCCACGCATTCTATGTCTTCGCAGAGGAAATAAAATCCCTAGTGAACAACGCTACAGTGTTAAATACGCATCAATACATATGTGCAATAATAAAATTTCATAAAGTGTACAAGTAATTAACACAAA